ATTATCAGTGTTTCAAAATACTGAAATACAAAATTCAGAAACCAATTTCTATTTAACATTTTTTAACCCAAAAGACTGTATGAAAATAGAGCAGTAAGCAACTACGGTAATTTTGAAGAATCAAACAAACTACTGAGTACATTTTAGTTTAGAAGTTCACACTTAATAGCTAACTATCTTTCTAGATTTTCTAGATTTACACCTCAAAGGCTCTCACAAATAGTATCTAACCTACATTGAAACACAGCACTTATTATGCAAATAGCTTTATAAAGGGGGCCATTCAAATGATCTCACATTTACTAAAGCTCTTAAAAGAAATGGCTCCTCAGAGATGTACAAAGAAAGAAACTATGTCTGAGGTCCATAAAAATAATGAAAAAAAATATTATTTACAGCTTGTTCAGTGAGGAGAGGGTCAAGGGGCACAAGAAGGAGGACAAAAACCAAGCAAATTAGCAAAAAAAAAAAAAAAAGACTGTAAGAATTTATACTCTACGGAAGAATTCAGAGACTTCATCAGTGCTTTCTAAGAAGTTAGATTTCACTCATAAGCCTTGAACAGTCCAATATTAAGGACTTAGGAAAAAAAAGGTAAGAGACAAGGATTCACTGTAGTTTATTGTTAAGTACCTTATCTGGGGAGGTATAGCATCAAGTCTAGTTTCAGGACTCCATGCTATGGCATCAACTCTGATTCCATGGTGAAATGTTCTTAGTGTCTTATATTGCATGCCTTCCACTTCTGCATCCTCCTCCTATAGAAATATTGCAGTTAGCTGATTCAGAACAAGGTCTTAGTGGCTTCTAACAAATCAGATTGCTACAAAATGAAAGGGCTTTCAAAATTACATATATTGGGATCTTTTCAGATCACAACATCTTCAAAGCAAAAACCTGGAACGTACTGAAAGCATTAACTTGAAATATTTAAGTACTTAGAAATACATTAAAGCATGAGTAAATTATGACTGATTGCAGTCTCAAACCAGAGGCCAATGAAGAGCAGAAAAATCAGAACTGAGCTACGAAGATGCTGAGTTCATTCTCTGTACAAGTAGTACCTTCACAGATACAACTAAGGCAGCATGGCAATTTAGCACACACTGCAGTGAGAAGAAGCAATGGGAACAAATGCAAACATGTAATTTAATCTGTCTTCTCTCTCAGTTGTTTTTACACCATGGAAAAATGCTGTCACTTCCAGAGCATTGCTCTTCAAACAGCACGAGATAAAAAGGTGCCCTCTGTCATCTAGTCCTAAATACAAGCTTGCTTATTCTTACCACTGGTAAAGAACACCAGATAACAGGAAAAAATGAAACAAGAGTTGGGATTATGGTCTCTGTCAATAAACTGACCTCTAAAAATCTTTTAAAAGTTTTCAGAACATCCAATGGAGCGCCTCAAAGGATATTCCTACACAATTTTCTCTATATCACAATTATGCTTTAAGATAAAGAACCTCTATGTACGTCCTCTACATAATGTAGAACCCAGCTGAGGATGCATGAAATTACCCAGCTTTTCGATGCTTCTCAACAGGAAGAAAGAATAACATTTTCCTCTCCTACTCTGAAATACTCATTGACTCCACATGTGGAAGGGAAGGGAGGATATGAAAATTATAGAAAAAACACCTTGTGTCAGTGGTTGTCAAAATTTTAATTACTTCCTTTTCAAGGCAGGCCTACACCAGAAACAAGGTAGTGAGCAAAACAAATGTCAGTATGATTTTGTGGTGAGCACTAGGTGTTCTTCAGAAAATTTCCAACAGTAAGACCATGGGGAATAACAATAATAAAAAATTAATAATAATAAAAATATGAGCTACACTATTAATCCTAGTAGACAAATTACAAAAAGAATATTGTATAATCAAGAAGCAAGATGAAGGAAAAAAGCTTAGAAATTCCAAGCAATTGTCTTCAATTGATTGTCAAGAATCTAGGCAAAAAACCCCATCTAGTGAAAAACATTTTATCCAGTATAAAAATATACAATACTCAGTATTTTCCATTTTAAAATTTTTCACAATATAACTGTAAATAACTTGAAGGCAAGAAATTTTACTGTTTCCAACAGTCTGTGAGTGAGATCCAATAAAAGCAATAAAAAAATGAGGTATTTCTACAGTTCATCCCTAAAAATAATATAAATATAAATATAAAGTATTTATATTTTCCTGAAAAACAAGTATCCTAGACTTGTTAGTGTAATAAACAAGTAAAATTCTCCCTTGTTTATCACAGGGAGGGGAGCAAACAGCAAAGTGACCAGAGTCTTCCTGCAGTAGAAGTGCTAGTAAAGTCAGTTTCAGGGGCATCTAACAAAAACAACTAACCTGAAATCTGCAAGTCCCAACAACCACGTAATTGTTGCCACCATAAGCAATGAGGGAACATGAATCTCCACTGTCAAATGGATTGAATTTTACCACGTGCACATAATCCTCGCAATCCACAGTGTAAGAAGTGTTTCTAGTAGAATCTTGCTTCATTTTCAGTGAACTAAATCAAGGTATCACAGAAGCAATGTCTTCTCCAGGATGACAATCCTCATTCCTACACAAAAATTTTAAAAAGCAGAGATGATTCATTGCATGAATAAAAAACATAAAGTATTTATGGCAGAGCAAATAAAAATTTCCTATAACATGTCCAAGGACACAAAAGCTGCAGTTAAGCTTATTAGATGTAGCCTGTTTGTTTTGTCAATCAGAATATTTACTACACTAACATATATTCAAAACTGTCTCTTACAGATTTCAGCAAGAACTGCTGAGTCAGTCCTTGGCAACCCAACACCAATACAAAAAAACAAGTAATTGCACATGCTCCAGAAGTGTCACACAAAGCATTTTAACATTTTCAACCAAATGAGAAGAAACAACATGTCACTACCTTCAAATTCTCTTTACTTGTCTACCTCTTTACAGATTGTGAGTCAAACTAAAAACTGTAAATGAAAACCCTGTCGAGCATTCAACCAGTTTTCACAAAAACCAGATTTCTGTGCTAGAACACAAGAGGCCAAGATACACAACTGATTTCAGAATCAATTCTTTTTAGTCCCAGTACAGATTTGACGTTAGTTTATGTATTTTTGGGAAATCAGACCTTTAACTACACACCACGTGGAAAACCAGCTTGAAATCTCAGACCTTTGACAGATTTTGGTGTGCAAACGATCGGAAGGTCTCAGCATCCAAGACTGAATGTTTTGCTTGGGAGGCAGCCAGGTCTGACAGAGGCATCACTCAAACACAGAGAGGCTCTCCACAGTTGTGTGTTGGTGTATTAATTCATACAACAGTCCACTATATTACCGTAAATACTTTAGCCATTTAACTTGCATAGCTTTGCACCTAAAGCCAAGTGCAAGTTTTAATTCTATCAAAAGTTTTATTCCCCCAAGGCTTCCCATGAACAAGCCATTATAGAATCTTAGAATGTTAAGGAGTTTAAGAGCATCTAGTCCCAAACCCTGCTGCCATGGGCAAGGATATCTTCCACTAGACAAGGCAGTCAATGCCTCATCCAACCTGGCCTTGAACACTGCCAGGATTGGGACATTCACATCCTCCCCGGGCAACCTGTTCCAGGGGCTAACCATTCTCACTGCAAAGAATTTCTTCCTCACATGTAACTAAAGTTTCCCCTCTTTCAGTTTGCACCCATTGCTCCTCTTCCTATCACTACAGTTCCTGACGAAGTCCCTCTCCAGCTCTCCTGTAGTGTGCCACTTGAGATGCTGGAAGGCGCTGTGAGATCTCCACTCAAACTCCTCCACGTTGAACAACTCCAACTTTCTCAGCCTGAATTATCGACCACCAGACCAGCTTGAAAACACCAGGAGTATTTTTACCTTCATTTCTTTAGGAAGCACGATTAGGGCAAACACACGTGGACGCGCCTTACCTCCCCCCATCTATGCGCATCCTTTACCCTCCTACTCCCTCCTTTTCCCTTCAGGGCCCAGCTGCTGCTCCCCAGCCAGGCTGCCCGAGTTCCCCCGGGCCGGCGGTGCCCCAGCCCCGCTTCACACGCACCTCCGCGTCCCCGGCTCCCGTTCCCGCACGGCCCCGCCGTACCCCAGCAGCAGCGCCCGCCCCGGGCGGCGGCAGCGGCGCGGCTGCTTCCGGGGCAGCGGCCCCGCGCCCATTGGGCCGCGCGGCGGATTTGAACGCGGCCGCCGCGCCCCGGCCCAGCCCCGCCACAGCGGCCGCGCTCCGGCTCCGCGCTGAGGGCACCGCAGCGGGGCCTGGGGCGGCTGCCGCCGGACCGCTCGGCCGCAATGCTAATGCCCCTTCTGGGTGTTAGGGGCGGCTCCGCAAGGGTTTTGGCTTGTTCGGGCTGTTTCGCTGGGAGCGACAGGTATGGTCCCTCAGAAAGCTCGCAGGGTGGGGAGAAAGAAAAGCCTTCGGAGAGGTTTTACTCTGCCCCACGCTGACCGGCAGCCCACCTGTTTCATCCTCTGTGACCCCCTTATGACGTTCACATTAGCAAGTGGATTGTCCCCTTGAAGTGTTTTGGAGAGTGAGAAGTTGCAGTCGTGCTTGTTTCCCCATGTCGCCTGTCCTCCCTGTCCCTTGGCCACACTTTCTCATTCTCTTACAGCCGTGCCAATCACCAGAAAAACCAAACGTGCCTTAGCTGTATGGAAAAAGGTCAAAGGTTGAGTTTTTTCTTCTGTAAGTACATGGGATGGGTATTGCTCCTGTACTGTCACGAAGTTGGGGAACTTTGTTTCAGAAAAGAACAAGTTTAAAGGCAAACTTCTACTACATTGTCATGTACCTTTTCTTGACAAATGCAAGAAGGTGAGAGAGACCAAAGCGTGAAGTAGTCCAGTTACTGCTAGGGAAGATAATGCCTTATAGAATTAAAAAAAAAAAGGGAAAAGACTATATTGGTAACAAAAGTCTCTAGTCATGTGTGTTAGAAACTCTTAGAAATATTAAATCTCTTTTTTTTCCAGGTTTAAAACATCCTCGTAGACACTCCTCTGTATGTATAGCGAATGCAGAAAGTACTGAAGACGCTCTGAGGCTGCTTTTGGAGACAAAGACTTATATTTGTGATAACATTCCTTTATGTTGGCAGAGCATACAAGGAAAGTAAGGGCTTCGTGAAGGCGTGACATGCATAAGCACTTTTAACCCCTTATCTTCATAGTTGCTCTGTCACAGTGAGGCAAGTCTGGTTTAGTTGGAAGAGTTTATTCTGGGAACTTGGTCTTTAAGAAGATACAACAGGGTGTGCACAGCTTGTTGGGAGGTGAAGACCTGCATATTCCTCTGGCATAGTTATATTTGTTTTTCTCTTGATTATATCGATCTTCTAGTCTGGACAATGGTTACTTTCCAGCAAAAAATTTTACACTTGGTCAAGTGTTTCAGAAGACAATGGCCTTTATTTTCCAACTCTGAAAGGACTACTGTATGTGGAGCAGACTGCATGTTGATGGCGTTACAACTGTCCATGGCTGAAGTCAATAAACAGGTTAGCATTCTTTTCAGCATGTTCCAACCATAGGCGCCAAGTTGAAATCACTTTTTGGTTGTTTCCTTGCTGTTTGTTAAAACAAGGTGTGTTTAAGGGCCAGATGCAGCAAGGCAAGAAAAAGAATATGATTAAGTGCACTATTGAAGCAGGGTTTAGAAAAAGGAGCAGCAAGACAGATGGAAGTGCTTTATGTGTATATTTGAGCTCCAGACTTTAAACACTAGTGTATTTCTGCTGAGCATGTCGCTTCTGTTTATTTCCATCCTATGTTTCTTTTGTGCTATAGATCAGTGGGGGAGAACTATGGCATTTGGGGTGCATTTTTTTTTTTCTGAGTTCTCCAAAAATATTTATGAATGACATGTGAAGAAGAAGGTTACAAAACTGATTTGGTATAGTTTGTGAGAGTTGTATAGTTGTGTGCACTTGCCACAGTCCGTTCTTGGCTGCTGCTTTTCCTTACACTTGTCAAGTGAAGGCCTATATGTTGTGAGTGTGTACCCAGTACCAGTAGGAATTTTATGGCTTTCTGTGTGTGTGTACATGAAGTGTGAAATGGTGAAGAGGAGGTATAACCCTAAGGTGTCTCTGAAAGAAGCGCTATGGCTTGTCAGAGCTGGAGGATGTCTGAAACATATCAGAAACAGTTGGAATATACAATCAGGCCTTTGCCTGTGTCTCATCTAAGGAGAGCTATTGCAATACTTGTTTTAATAACCTAAAGATACCTTTTTAGGTTAATTAACCTAATTATTGATGAAAACAATATGGACTGTTTTTGGAAGACTTACTCAAGTGTTGCATAGTAAGTCAAATTTGTAGTACAAAGCTTTAGTGTAAGAAAACCAAAACAAATGTACCAAATCAACAAACATACCAGAAACAAGATAACCACATCAAAGTGAAATTCCTAAGCCAACAAAAAAACCCAAACAAACAGAAAACCTACTTCAGTTTGTGCATCAGAAAAAAAATTGTGGTCTAAAATGTGCAGACTGGGCGTATCTCTTGTCTAAACATTAAGTATAAAACTGGTTAAGTCATCACCCATTGCTAGAAACATTACAGTAAGGATACTAGAATGCCAAGATACTATGTTTGTACTTGTTGGAATGTAATATATTTCAGCCAGGAGCCTGGTGTCCTCACAATACCTGTGTAGGTTAAAATGAGAAAATCAGCGTGCATCGAAATTAGCTCTTGGAAAACTGGTAGAAGACATTAATGCAAAACTACGTATGGAGGGGATTGCTGTTTGTCATGTTTGTTGAGAGTCTCAAGGGAAAACTGTAACTAGTTTTCCAAAGCCACCTCTGGGAAAATGTGTTGTTCTACTGTATGCCAAAACTTACAGATGTGAAAAGGTTATGGTTCATTGCTCCCTGTTTTCCTTACTATGAGTTTTTTTCTTCCACTAGAGGTAATTAGTTTACTCTACTTTATCCTTTTTTTCATCTTCTAGATAATGTTCCTCTCTTCCAGAAATATCTTTTCTTTCAGACATGGTCTAACAAAAATTATAGCAGTTATTTTCAACTAATTTAATTTTGAAATGTTCAGCTTCTCCTTTGGATCTGAAGAAAGAACAAGTTTGCAGAACTCTGATTTGTTTTTTCTGATTATACTAGTTGGTCTAATAAGACAAACCTTTGCTTGGATATGTGAATTAAAATTATTTTAGCATTTGCATGTTCTGCCTCTGAAGCACAATTTCTTTAGATGGTATCCATTTTGAAGTTCACAGTCTTAAAGCAAAATCTGTCTGGTTTATTTTGTCCAGCAGTGAATCTTCAAATAAGATGCAGAATATTACAGTTGTAGGCATGTCCCTTGTTAGGTTTCTGATTTAAATACAATAATTTTGAATTGTTAGCACCTGTAGAATGGAAATCTATTCTGGTAAAGTCAATTACTGCAATAAAAATAATTTTATTAACAGGCTATTGAGAGGCTGTATTGAGAAAAACCCAACACATCCAACATATCACAAACAACCAAAATACACTTCTCTTCCTTTAGGAGCCTGGACAATTTTAATGGATTTGGTGTTTTAACTGGTACCCGTATCCACAGTGGAAGTGAAAAATAACAAAGCTTTTAGGAGAACTCTAGGAAATTTTAAAAGCTTCATAATCTATTAACCTTAAATTTCACCAGAATAAGGGTAGCAAAAAGTGTGATAAACCCTGATCAAACAGCAGGGATGAAAGAAAAAAAAAAAATCTATGCTCTGAATCCCTCTGAAAATACTTTGGTTTGGGGCATGGTTGTAGCCGTGTGGCATAAAGACAAGTGGCATAAGATCTGTGATGGAAGCAAATACCTTTCACCTAGACTGATTAGTATAGGTCTAAAATCTAGGAACATTTTCAAGAAGAACCTTTCTCAAGGTTTGAAATAGTAATAACAGTTTTCAAGATGAAGTTCAGCTGAGAGTAATTGCTTTAAGTTGACTGTACCTGTGGATCAGCAGGGGTAGAAGATGAGCTATTAGGTCAAATAATCACTTGTCATTTTCAGCCTATGGCTGTTTTAGCTACTGGCATGGGAAACTAAAGCGTATAAAACAATTATTTCTCCAGAATCTGTGAGTTTAAGTTGTCAGACTTAAATGTGCTGTAAATCTCTTCTCGAATGAGAACTTTGATACTGGGGGAAAAACTGCTTCATTGTTGATTTTAGAAATATATCTTCCCTTTTGAAATTTGTGTTTGTATGTTTCTGATTTTGCATAAAAGCAGTTTTGGTGTGTGGTTTAGTTCTGTTCTGTGCTTCCATGAGTGCATTTTGCATGTTGACTGAAGAATATTGTGTTCTGTTTGGTGTCTTGTATTTCTTCAAATGATTTCCCTAATTATTGTTTCCATGTTGGAAAATGAAGAAATATGCAGAGTTGTACAGTGTTACTCCTTTAAACTGTTCTATCTGTCTCCCTTTTGGTAATGAGATACTCCTAACTAACTTTGTAGCAATTTTATGTGATATGTTGCTTGTAATATGTTGTGATGATGTTACTAAGAGAGGTTGTCTTGGCTGTTCTTCAGCATGATTAATTTTTCACAGAATCACAGAAGGGTTGAAGTTGGAAGGGGACTCTGGAGGTCATCTTATCCAGCCTACCTCAAGTAGGGCACCTGTCCAGGTGTCTTTGAAATTGTCTCTGAGGATGGAGACTCCATAACCTCCCTGGACAACCTGTGCCAGTACTCAGGCATCCTCAGAGTACAAAGGTGTTTCCTGATGTTCAGAGAGAACCTTCTGTGTGTTTCAGTTTGTGCCCATTGCCTCTGCTCCTACCACCTTAACAAATCTCCTGGCTCCATCCTCTTTGCACCCTCACTTCAGATGTTTGTATGCATTGAGATCTTCCCTGAGCAGTCTTTTCTCCAGACTAAACAGCCACAGCTTTCTCAGACTTTCCTTGTGTGTGAGGCGCTCCTGTCCCTTAATGATATCTGTGGGTGGTGTGTGAACTTCGTTGGACTTGTCTCCAGTGTGCCTCTGTGTCTCCCTCATACTGAGGAGCCCAGAACTGGATGCAGTACTTCAATCTGGTCTCACCAGTGCTGAGTAGCCTTCTCTACAAGGGACAGGCCCTTCTTTAGAAAAGAATTTGGAGTAATAAATATTTCCCTGCATTTTTTTAAAAGAGGAAATTACATATTGAGGCTGTTCTACTGTCTTTCCCATAACCTGTGTAATCACATCCTGTCTGTAAGTTAGTTTTGTGTATTTTTGTTTTGCTTAACAATTGAGGTTGTTTGAATTGTGTTAAAACTCTCGCTACTTAAGTCTTGATGCATCTTTCCTAGCTTATCAATAGGACTTTTTCTTCTCCCTCCCACTCCTCCCTCTATAGTATTACAGGTGTCTGTTTTGAGGCGTAGAAGGGGAAGCAAGGATGTGTGGAGGTTTGTTTTATTGTTTCTAACCAGCAGGGTTCTAAATTTTCAGTCTTTTATTTTTATTACCACTGTAATTGATAGGGTTGGCTTTAAAAAGTGCTGGATTGTTGTTTGGGTGAGTACAGTTTTTCTTTTCCTATTCTGTGATTCTCCTGTTGCAACTACTGTTCCACTATCCTGTATGTATACTAGCTCTCTAGTAATCTTTAAACAGAGCATCTACTCTCTTGGGCCCTGGTACTTTGTTACTTTGTCCCTCAACACTCCCCCTCACCCACAAAAAAACCAAAAGTGTTCAGTGTCCATGCCATTGTCGTTTTATTTATTATTTTATAATCTTGTAATTTCTCTAAGCTTGGGCTATTGACCTGTAACTTCACTGCTTCTGCACAACTGTCCGATGTCCACGTGCTTGTGTTCACATGAACCAGTTTCTCAGTCCGTGCACAGCTCTATCAGCATGATGGGAAACTTATTGAAAATGCTTTTTCCTACCCTCATGTGCTTTATGTACCACAGTTTGGGAACTCCTCTGCTGTGTGAGAGTGTAGGGAAGCAGGGATGGCTGAGCAGGGCTAGAGGTGACAAGAGTGCAGAGTTGCCCAATGTCTTGGTTTGGAAAGACAGGTGTCTGCTAAGGAAGGCAGGAGCCTCCCCTGAACTGGAAACTGTAAACCGCCTCCCTCCAAATTGTTAGAAATTTGAAATTAAGGGGCTCTCAGGCAAAAAATATGGGAACAGGAAATAACAGTTCTTTAATAGGGAAGAAAACAAAAAGATAAAATAAACAATGCAGTAAACTTAAACAACACTGACAGAGTCAGAACACAACCTGACACCCTGTTGGCCAGGATGCTGGTAGCAGTCCAGTTGGAATTGTGGCTGCAGTCCTCCTGGAGCGTCAGGTGTGGCTCTGTTGGAGCAGGGATCCTGTAGAAGGGTGGAATCTTCCTCTGAAGATCCAGTGGAAGAGGCAGCTGTTCCTCTGGGAATCCAGTGGAGATGCTGTTCTGGTGTCCCAAGAGCTCAGATAATAACCAGTTGGGAATGCTTGGCTCCTCCCTCTGGGCGGAGCATCTCACAATGGGTTGCTGTAATTCTTATCAGTCATGCAGTGACATTCAAAAGCCCTTATCAGCAGATGTGTCCCCCGAGGGAGGAGTGGTTGTGGAAGAGATAAGGAAAATTGCCCACTTAACAGAAGACAACTGCCATACCTCTAACAGATGGTAGATAAAATATATATTCCTTGGCAAACTAGGACACCCAACTCAAGGACAAAGCCAGAAAACAATGCTGCAGTCTAGGAGTATGCCTGGAAAGAATAGACCCAACACAGAGGTGGTGCTTCAGCACAGCAGTCTTTTACACACATATTCCTAAATGGCTTGGTGAGCCTTTGTTTGGGGAAGGTGGAAGATAAATATTTTGATGGTGAAATGCACAACATTCTGGTTTTTGAAACAATTTGCTGTCAAAATAGAAATTCATTTGCTATGTAATTAGCACTAGAAAACTTGCAATACCTTCAAAATAGTAAAAAATGGTGTCTTTAAGCATGAAATGTTGCTACTGGAGTTCAGACATTCTAAAACCACAGTCCCCAGGTAACTTAATATGATGTATTACCAGGAAGTGAAGGTACTTTATAATACTATATTGGTTCTATTCCTATCAAATTAAATACTTGCTTTGCCCATAATAGAATGAAAACATGGGACTTTGAACTTCCTTAAGCTATTAGCCAATTGACAAATGCTTGCTGCAAAACACCACAGTATTTTTAAAATTAATTTTAAAACCAGTGACTTGACAAAATGACTGTGTAAGTAATGGAATATGCCATCACAGTAAATGCTTGATCACTAAGGTTAATATCTGGAATGCAATATTTGGATTTAAAATATTTTTGCAGCACTAACATAAACTTTGGTAATCTCTGCAGGCCCTTGATCTGGTGAGGAAAGGTTTTGATTTATTAGATACCTTATGAAGTTGTACTTGGTACTCGTGAAGGATTTTGATTCAAAATAAAGTGAGAAAACAACATTTTTCCCCCATCTACTGCTGCTTTGATCTGTTTAAATTGAGTTATAATATGATTATATGTTTAATTTTTTGAGGGGCTGAAATGAAAATCAGGTGCTTTTCAGAAAACACATGTGCAGTTTTAACATTCTGGTGCTATGTGGAATAATATGTAAGTTCATAGTGCTGATTTGTCATAACCCGTGCACAAATAAGAAGGCAGAAAAGTGCTCTGCGGCTAATATGTGCGTGTTCTTTAATTTTCTCTCCTTGTTCTTCACCTAGGCAATATCAAAATAGTTGACTGACAGGATTTTAGGATTGTGTAGGTCTATTGAGAAAGTTGTGCTAAATGTGTTAGAATCCAAAGGAGGGATCTTTTGGGTTGTAACAATGTAAATTATTAGAATTTCTCATGTTTTCTTATTTTAGGTGTTCTGTTGCTAATGGTGTTTATAAGTAATTAATTTGCTTAATATGGAAATGTAATTAAATAGAATTAAACCTTTGCTGTAGACAGGAGCCATCTACCTGTATGGACAGTGCAAGACAAGGCTTGTAAACTTGGTCACAGGGCATTTATCTCATGTTATGTGGTGAAAAACACCTTTTTTTTTTTTTTGCTACCACATATTGGGGAGTGCTTTAGATACAAGAAGTGTGGACAAAAGTTTACCAGCAGGAGCTGGGAACTGATACTCAGTTTAAAGAGCAGGATGTGGACAGAAATGAGGAGGACAAGTTGTGAAAGAGAAGGTGGTGAGAGCAAGTGGTTGGAGGAGATGGCAGAGAGGCACATGGAACAAAATTTGATGATTTTCACCAGAAGAATGTAGTCTATACTGTGTAGTTAAGGTTAATTATAGTAGTAGTAACAGAGGGATGTGCATGGCTTTAATATATTTATTAGAACTGTGTAGCAGCACTGTCAGTGTTATGATAAAGTATAACTGTATTAGCACAAGAAAGAAAAGCTCCTTTTTTTTTTTTAATTGGCATATGTTTTCCCAGTTTACTGCTTGAAACAAAGTAAGGGAGCCATATTTACTCCCTTTGAGAAATGAATGCCTCCAATGCTGAAAACTATTTCTGCAAATAAAGAACTTTATGTAAGGAATAGTCCTGCAACATTCACTATTTTCTCTTGAGTGAAATTTAATATACATGCCTGGTATTTTAAAGATCAGGAACAAATACTGACAGAATATAACAAAATTCAACTGTCAATGCGAAGCTGTAAGTAAGACTTTGTTTCCGGCCAATTTAAATTATAATGATTTTCAGATATATGTTTGTTGTTTATATATTTGCAGCTTGTTTTAAATTTGTTTTCAAAACTGTGCTGAATATGAAACATTTTTTTTTTGCCTTTTTTGGTTCTGTTAGCACCGTGGAGACTTCACAGTATCACTTAGTGATGTGTTGGAAACATGGAACTATTTGTTGCATGACAAACTGGGATTGTATGAAAATATGAAGGAACCTGAAAATTATGCTGATGTGAAAAAAGCCTATCATGCCTTCTTAGCAAGAAGCAATATGTTAGATTTAATAGACATATATCAGAAGTGCTGTAGTCTTGGACTTTTAGCTGAAGATGAAAGTATATGCCCTGTAAGTATTATGTTTGTTTGATCTCATATGTTGTTTTGGCAGATTTTTGGTTCCAGTTGTGGGTTTATGACATATCTAGTTACACCCAGGAGATCTGGATTATTCACAGCTTTGGGGAAGTCCTTGAGTTTAAATTACTACATTTTGAAAAGGGATTTTAAATTCACTCAAAAATTATTTCTCTATCATCCTGCTGGATAGTGAGGTCCCACAACTCTTCTATGAATAAATTACTCCTTGCCATAAATTGGAATGAGAATAATAATAATAATAAACTGTAGAGATTTGATAAAACTGGAACAAAGCTTAGGAATTAACATGTCATGGAGTTTTAGTTGATGTGCAGCCAAAATATTTTTAATGATTACCCTTTTGAAAACACCGTGCTCTTTTAACAAAACTTCTGTGTAATATATGTATTTGCATGTTAGGGTTTTTTTTCAGACGTTCCAGTTCAGTCACTCAGTTACAGCTCTGTTGTAGTTTATTCCGGGTCTTTTGTTTATTTGGGGGTTTTAATGTGTTTTTCTTTTCCTCCTGCTTTTCATGGGGAAGATAGAGAACTTAGATGGGTCAATGAGTTCTTCCTGAACTTGGCATATCATATTAATGTTCTCCAAAATGTAAGCAGTGGATTTTAGTGCAAGTGTATAACATAAGTGTTTGAGATAATTTCTAAGTTAATTTTAATCTTACACTTCATTTCTCTACTAGAACAGTTGTACTTTGAAAGACTGAAAGTAAAAGTAGACTGTAAGTACTGTGCTAACCTCAAACACTAGCAAAGTGGCAGATGGGTTACGCCAGGTTTTAAACCCACTTTTGTTTTCTAGTCCTCTTCATATTTAAGTTTATTATGATCTCTTTATTAAAGGTTCAACTGTTGGAGTTTATTTCTGGTGTAATGAATGCACAAGAAAATAATGGTTCTGTTCTTTCTACTCCTACACACAACAGACAGGGCCAGGAGCATGTGAAGGTAAAAATTATTTTTGTCTCTTGTAGTGTTCTGTATCTATTGAAAAGATGAAATATAACATAGTTTTATTTTTCAATGATTGTTATTCAAATGTGGCTGGGTTGACAAAAACCAACCTGCATATCCAAACTCTGTATCACTTGAAGTATATTGTAGGTGTGTATGAGGCTGTGTGCTGAAATTTAGATTCTGGAGAGCAGTCCAGCATGACAGGTGCTTGATGTAGAACAAATTTTTCTACAAATACACCATCACTCAAACGTTGTTTTGACTGCACATTAAATAACTGAAGTAATCTTTGATTTCATTTTATTAGCTTGTAGTCCCTTACATATGCAAGAAATCTGAATAGCCACTGTGATGTTAGCTGTAGCAAAGCAAACAAAGTTTGGCTGTCCCAATAAGAGGACTTGAGGACTCTCTCCCTTTACCATTTCAACCACCAAAATAAGAATCTCTGGGTACTTTCTAGCACTGTTTGAAATATTGGAGCTTTAGTAATTTCCAGACTTGATTTTATCATAATAAATGGCAATTTCAAAGCAATCTTTGGATATAACTCAAAATATTTCTGGACAAGAAAATATTTTCTGAACTGAGGTTCTCCCCTAAACAGCGCTTCTACCACTAACACAGTGGCTTTCTTACTGCTTTGACTTGTGCAGTAAAAATATTCCTTGCTCTTTTTTCCTCCTCTGAGGACTCTCTTTGCGGACTGTCCCACGTATATGTTTGGTTTTGTAACTATAGTTTGTTGTTTACATACTGTGGTATGAGAATATATTCCATAGCAAGTATAAATTTTCTTGTTGTATGTTCTTCTCTTAATGGCCTTTTTTTTTTGCTTTGCTTACAACAAAACTGCAAATTCTTCTGTTCTGGGGCTGTTGTTGTCACAGGGTCTTGAACAGTGCTACAATATTAGCAATTACAATGTTATGTATTGGTTATGTGGGTGGGGCTGGATCACAATTTATGTCCAGACTCAGTCAGTGGAGTTTCTTTGATTGAAATCCCCTGGAAGCTAAAAGAAAAGATTACTGAATCTGTGGCAGAGCTGGCAAGTAGTTTAAAATCTTAGTCTTTTTGAAGTTAATGACAAACTCTTACATGGTTTAATGGTGCTAGTATTTGCTTTGAGATAGAAAAGGGATGTCTGTGGGGAGGTTTTTAAACAGAAATTTATAACCAATTTTAATAACCCTCAAGCACCTTGTGAATATTCAAGTACCATATATGCAATTCTAACTTATTTATCTTGTTTGTTTTCATCAAGGCTTCCAGAATCCTCATGCATAAAGTAGCATTTTGAAATGATGCAAGATGAATGCTTACTCTTCCAAAAACTACATCAGTACATGTCTAATTAACTTTAAAATAAAATGCAACATTATTTTCAGCAGCAGGAGGACCAATTTGTGTGATGTTTTCTCATGCAGGTGACAATCCTGGCAAAGAAGTCTGTCTGTTCATATTTAAGCCTTTTGGTGAATTCCAAGGATGATCTGGCATTAGCTCATATCCTAAATGTTCCTGACAGAGGACTTGGTAGAGAAGCCTTCACTAACCTGAAACATGCTTCACAGGAGAGAAAAATGTCCATTTTTCTGGTATGTGTGTCAAATGAATCTGCCTGGAAGTCAGGGCCAATAAATTAGATCTCCAAACAGAGAATATGGCTTTAATCTAATATGCAACACTGATGTTTGCAAGCTGAGTCAAGCACCACCATGAGCAGGATTTTAAAGCTACAAAGACAATAGATTTTGTGGGGAGAAATGGTTTCTTGTTTGGTCATGGGATCTCAAGGTGGACAGAAAAAGTAGTTTCTGTGTGTATCTCAAGAGTTCTAAAATGAGATCTTGCAGTAGTTGTCAGCACAGAACCATCTCAAAAACAGAATTCTTTTTTACCTTATTTTAACTTTCTCCAAAGAACCACTGTAGTCCCTCATACTCAAAATAGTAATTAAATTTTGCATGCAGTGTAGCCTCAGTGCAGACAATAGCAGTCTGAGTTAAAAGTATGTAGTCACTGAAGCAGCTGGTTTCTCAAACTTTTATGTTGAATAAATATGGAAAAGTTGTGAAATCTCAGTTCCAGGTTTAATTATTTTAGCTCCTAATGCTCTGTTAATGTTGTATAAAAAACTGTATGTGTTTGGACTGGATTTACCAAGTCTTCACAGTTGCCAGAGGGGAAATTTCTCTGCTGTGTAAAGAAGTCATCTTTTCTGGCATCTATGTCTTGTAGAAATCCTGAAAATGAGAGTATTTTCCATTGGGAAGGCAAAGTCCTATGAATTGTATACTTGATCCATAGGAAATCTTTAGCACAAAGACAGGAATACTGGCGGGTTTACTTTCTGTGCTAGAGTAAGTCTAGTTTTTCCTCTTTCCAGCCCTAAGACCTTTATGATTTAGCTCTGTACTCTGAAATTAAAATTTGTGTGTAGAATTAACATTACTGCATCTGTGTCAAATGCATTGGATTATTATCCTTACTTTAACCTTCCTGGATAAATGCTAGGGTTTTTGTTCTTACGGTTGCCTTAAAATTTTGGGGGTTGTACTCTAAGATATGCTTTTGGCACGTCTTCATTATCTTAGAGCATATAAAAATATATGGACACTTTCAGAATGACAGAAGCCTTAGCTGTCATTATTTCTGATAAGATTTGAATATACATTACTTGCATCTCTGAAAATTATGAGCTGAAGTCAACTTTTACATGCTTGTGTTAAAATTGTCCTTGGGTCACAGAGAGCCCCCTTGAATATAAGAGTAGTTTTGTGAGGCCAGCAGGAGCATTTGAACAGCCACAAAAACAAGAGAGTTTTGTGTGATGATTTAATAAGTTTTTTGTCCTAAGCTTTCAAAAGGCTGATGTAAACAATGAATTAGTTTGGGGTTTTTTTTTTACTTTGGCTTGTGGGGTTTTTTTTAAATATAATTATTCTATTTAAGTATTGATCTTGCCAATATTGAGATGCACAGAGCTCGCATTTAGGAGCTGTTGTTTGATTTCAGGGAAGCTATTTATGCTATCAGCCAGCTTTTACACAAGTTGCAGACCTGTAGGAAAGGCTCATTTTAATGTATGCACAGCCCATGTCTGTCTATAGTTTGATATTTCTGGCTAATTTTCTCCTAATAGATGGCAACATCTTTTATCCGGACCATAGAACTTGGAGGAAGAGACTCTGCATCTTCTTTGTATGATCCTTTAAGAGCCCATGTAAAAGGGCTTTCCAGCTTTGTTAATTTTATTGACAAGCTGCAAGAAATTGTTGGTGAAATCTTAAATACAAGGTAATATATTTTTGTCTTGGTGAGCCTCTCCTTTTCTTGTGCTTGAACAAAAAGAACAAAAGAAAATCAAATAATGTACTTACTAAAGAATTCAGAGTAAACTTTTTAAAAGTTAAACCTTATTTGAAAATGTAATTGAAAAATAATTGGGGTAAGCTTATGAATTTTTGAGGGGTGTTTTTTGTATTGAATTTTTATCAAATCTATGTGTGTGTATATCAAATCTATGTGTGTATGGTAGTTTGGTTACTTCCCTAGTTGTAAATCAAGTTACAAAGACTTCCAATTTGTGAGTCTGGTAAGTACATAAACTGATATGTGCTTTACTTCTTGCTGCTTAATTCCTTCCTTTTGGTCATTTAATTATCTTTATCCTTATGTAAGGAGTCTTTATTGCCGCTAACAAATGACAGTGTTGGTTATTTAGCCTTTTCTTTCATTTTAGCTGTATAAATTAAGCATGAGAATTATTTCTTAGGGGGCCTCTGGTGGAGTTGCTGATTTTGATTGTGTTTGAAGAAGTGAAGTTAGTCTTTTGGGCAGGCTTATAAATTTGTGATTAATTAGAGAAATGTAAATGTAACACAGAGGTTTGAATTGGTAAGTGCTGGCATTATTAGAGAGAGAAGAGCTATTTTCTTAAGCTTCATAGAAATTAATAATTTTGTCATTTATAATCAGTAATTCTTCCATACAAAACTTGGCAAATCAGCTATAATAGTTCTGTCCTTGATACTAAAGAATCATTTTTTTTTTCCAAGTTTGAATTGAGTCTAATCCTCACAGTGGAAAACAAAATGTTATAAGTAAGCATTATTTAAGTTAATGTTCAGTTTCCATTGAAGCTGGAAGTGGGAATTATTTCTGAAGTTGTTTTGCAGTTTTGTCTTACTTTTTTTATTCTGCTTCTTATTCTTTCATTTCAACATCCTGGATGCCAGAGACATACTGTCTGTACTGGTGATTAAAGAAAACTATTTGCTCAACGTATAGTATATGCTCTTTTTCCTTTGTTTAAACCATATCTGGCACTGTATATTGATAAAAAATGAGAAATGGAAGAATATGTATATGCATGAACTTTTTAGGATGGAAAGACTTTATCAGGTGAATACAGTTCAGAAAAGTACAGCATTTTATGCTACATCTTGTTAATTACTCCTCTGTTTAAAAGAGAATGTTTAAATGTGAGAAAAATCCGGGTGGGATAGTTGCTGGGAGTTATCAGCTTCTCAGTGAGTGAATTCTCTATAGCCTGGACCTGATTTTTAACAGTCAGATATTTATTGTGTAGCTTTCCCTGCTGCACCTGCTGTGCCATTTATTGTGGGGTATAAATCTTGTTAATGTCAGATTCTGTGCATTAAATTGGCTGTACACACATGAGTATTGCTGTTTGTCTTGCTGACCAGGAGTAGAAGGTGGCTGTACTGTGTTGTTTGTAGTACCTCTTGTACTCCACATGGCCTTTATACCCGCACGGTGTAAAATATGTTTTTCATCTGTGTATCTGTAGATGTTTTCAAGTGTTTGCTATGTCACACGGATGAGGACTCTCTGTGTGTCCTGCCTGTCATGTGCCAGTTCTTGGGAGTTCCAGAGGATCCAGTTCTGTGCAAAAAAATATTCTCTAGTTCTGTTACTGCTGCAAAGTAAAGACCAGAGGGGGGGAAAGGCAGCAATGCAGCAGAATCCTAATTACTTAATCTATAGAAGCCTGCTGAGAAATCCGAGAGCAAACTAGACAACCAGTCTGCAGCATTGCTCTTTCTCTGATGCAGAGGTTAGCCAACCTGCTTTACCCAGGTCTCTGTATTGACTATGCCACAAGAAAAATGCTGTGTTTTTTACTTAATGATTAGAAATCTGTTATTTCTGTTTAATTTTGTTACAGTGCACATCTTATGAAACTTGTAATTGCACAAAATACAAAGTAGCCAAATAAATGGTGGGTCACTGGGACGCATGTTGAAAAGAGGCTTTCTTCATCTACCTGATTCCTTTGCTTTGGGAATCTGGAAACCAAATTGAAGGTCTTGGACAGTGGTGGGAAATGCTTTAAGAATATTTTGGACTTAGGAGATATTGCGCAACCAAGTACCTGCTAACCTATATAGAGTAACAAAAATGTTTCTTATCTCCCCATCATTCAGCTAAGAAAGTGAACGGTAGATTAGATGAACAAAGAGAAATCTGTCAAACAGAGTGGAAGTTTAATGAAACTATGATGGTTTGGTTCAAATATGGCACTTCTGATAGGAGGAGAAAAGGAAAGACAAAATGAAATTTGGTCGTTTCGAGGTGTATTCACTGAAGACAATGTGCCTACAAATCTCTGACATGTTGAAATTGTTTGTCTCTCCTCATTCTCTAATATTAGAAGACCTTACTAATCTTTCAAGAATCAGCAGCATGAATAGTCGTTAACTTTTGGGGATGATGCAAAACTTTCAATGCTAAAACTATTTATAGATTTGTACATACAAGGCTTGGACAATGTTAATACAGTAAATGGAGAACTTGGATCTTCTTTTTTACACCCCTTTCTTGACAAGGAGCATATCAGTGTTGTATTTGTCAGCAAAATGGATGATTATTATACACCTTAAGATCTGAAAACTCTTTCCTGCTGGTATAAATGAAAAGCTGCACTTCTAATCCATCATTCTGGAAACCCTTTTCTTTTAGGCCAGAAGAACTCCTGAAATGACTTTTCCCAAGTTTGTTTAAAAAAATATGACTTAAAATTGGAGGACAGAAGCTCATTTGTCATGTTGGTTACTGTGCTTGATGGTTAGTATGGGGGGATGTGTGTACATATACGTACACGTTAAAAATCCCCACTAATTTTGTAGAGTAGCAAAGTTGGGAGGTTGGCAGCATGTTTTCCCCTCAGCTGGGCGCTGCCCTCGGCGCAGGCAGCGGCCACTGGGTGTCACCATCGCCCAGCTCACACCGGAGCCGGGTCCCGCTCGCCGGGTCCCGCCCGCCCCACCGGAGCGGCTCCACATCCCGGGCCCCTGCAGCCTCCGCAGCCTGCTGGAGCATCACACAGCTCGCCTCCACCATGTGGATTTGTGCTCTCTGCTTCCCCTCGACAGGGAAAATGCGTTTCTTATACATTTCCTTTGGGAAGCCGTGATTGCGTCTCGAGGCGCAGTAGTATTTGGGGAGAGAAAGAACGTTGGACTCTATCTAGGCTTGTGCTGAGTTAATTGGACAGTGTTCACACAGCCCTGGAGGTTTGTGGTCTAAAGTTGCTGGAAAGTTGTGCAAGCATATGCAAAACATTGTATATAGGATTGCTTAAATTTAGGATTATAGAAAAAAATTCAGGTTGGAAGGAACATCAGAAAGTTTTTGGTCCAACATCCCGCTCAAAGCAGGGTCAATTATGGAGTCAGCTCAGGTTAATCAGGGCTTTATCCAGACAAGTTTTGTGCAGTCTCCATCCTTGGAGGTTTTTAATCTCCCTCTTGGCAGCCTAGTCCAACTGCTTTTGTCCTCACAGTGAAAAGTTGTGGGCTTTTTTTCTTATATTGAGTTGGGATCTCTCTTGTTTCAGTTTATGCCTATTGTTTTTTTTCACTGTCTGTCAAAATGAGTCTGGCTCCATCTTCTTGCTTGCCACCCTGTAGGTATTGGAAAGCTGTTAGTAAATCCCCCTGAAACCTTCTCTTCCACAGCCTGAACAAGCTGTTCCTGAAGCTGCTCCTCACAGGGCATGTCTGCCTGACCAGCTTGGCAGCCCTCTGCTGAACTTGCTCCAGTTTATCAGTGTCTTTCCTGGACTGGGGGCCCAAAACTGGACACAGTATTCTAAATTTGGTCCAACGAGTGCTGATTAGAGAGGGATAATCACATTCCTCAGACTACTGGCTACGCTACTGTTGATGCAGCCAAGGATACTGTAGGGTTTCTTTGCTGCCAAGGCATGCTCCTGGCTTGCAGCTTGCGTGCTGAACATGCACCAAGGTTTTTTACACAGAGCTGCTCCCCAGCCTGTATCATTGAGAGGGGTTATTCCTTCCTAAGGCTTTGCATGTCTTGTTGAATTTCATATGGTTCCTGTCAGCCCATTCCTCTTGTCTGTTTAGGTATCTTTGTGTGGCAGCTCTGCCCTCGAGAGTATTGACTGTTCCATCAAATATGGTGTCATCTGCAAACTTGATGAGCATGTAATTTTCAGGAATTACTGCCAAAAACAATAGGAAAATAAACCAGGTTTCAGGATAGGCCCCTATGTTACTCCATTGTTACAACATGTTTGCTACCTTCTGAGCATGATGATCCAACCTGTTAACTCCTCTAATTGTCCATCCATCCGGACTGTAACATCAATACTCCCATGCTGAGAGAATTCTCTGTCAGTATTGATAAGCCTTGCTACAGTGAAGGGAAATGACACCCACTGTTCTCCCCTGCTCTGCAAATCCAGTCATTTTGTTAAAGGGAAAAACAGATTGGTCAGGTTATCAGGTTTGATAACTGCATGCTTATAGTTACCGGCTGCCACCTAATCCTTTGTGCCTTCAAATGTGCCTTCAATATGTGTTCGTAGAAGACTTTGCATTATTTTCTTGAGGAACAAAGTGAGTCTGATGAACTGTGGTCCCCCAAACTGTCCTTATGGACTTTTTTATGTGGGTTTTTCTTTTTTTCTTTTTTCCTCTTCTCTCTTTTTTCCTCTTCTCTCCTTTTTCCTCTTCTCTTCTCTCCTTTTTCCTCTTCTCTTCTTTTTTTTTTTGCAATTTTTTGCTTTTCACCATTTGTTAGGGATCTCACCTGGTCATCCTCACTTTTCAAATATATCAAGTTGTATTATGAGGGCATTTGCCACTTCTATTAAGGCTCTTCGATGCAATCCATTTGATTCAGTGTTCTTGAACATACTCAGTACCTGCAAGTGAAGCCTGATTTGATCTTTATCCACTGCTGGCAGCTCTTTTCTGAAAGATCTCTCTAATCAGAGTGTTGGTAAAGACTAAGGCAAAGAAGGC